TCCCCCGCCCCCCTCTCTTCCCCCCCCCCCCCCCCCAGCAGGGAAACTGAGGCAAAGCAACAAACAAAACTGTGCCTTTACCAACACTGACCTAAAGTACTACAGGCCTTTCCTGTGGCCTCTTGCAATGTTGAAACACCCCTCACTCCTACTGTAGGAACTCAGTTCCCTTCTACAACCTTCCCAGCGGTACTCTTTTATTCTTCTGTGAGGATGAGCTGACCTCCTTCAAGACAACCGTACAGGGCTGGCTAGCCTCGAGCCCTGCCTTAAAAAAGGCAAGCCACCTGGTCAAAGGAATATAGCTGTCTCAGAAAACACAACATTTTTCAAAGTCCTGATACGTGAAGTTTCCTGCTCACCTGCAGATCTACAAAGAACAATGTATTCCTAATAATTTCAGTGAATCAATGATCCAAGTGGAATTCCCCACATTTATTGTCCAGATAGCCTTCAGCCATGCCCATTGATGAAAGCCAGAGACAAAATCTTGTTCTCTGTTTTCACCCCATGACTCACAGTTAATCATCATTCCAGCACACATAACAGCCACATCTTGGATCTAATCCCTGGATTAGAAATGAATTGAGAGAGTATTTTTGTTCAACTGCAGTGCTGGATGGATTACCACTTCCTTCAAGTAATAAGCAGATTTTTTCTTGTCACCAAGCAATATATGGCCCTGTCTAACATGGTCCCCAAAGCTCATGACCAATTAAATCCCAGTGACAACACTAATTGACAATGAACAGATGAAATTATCATCACATGCTGTCTCCTGCCTTGAGCACAGTGACTCCTCAATGGCCATTTCTTTCCTATTTGCCATATGAAATACTTGTGTTTCTTGAATAACTTGCATCAAATGGCAAGCAAAGGGCAGAAACTAAAGGGTTATAAAGGAAAGCTCAACATGAAGCAAACAAATTGAGTCACAAATAATTTCTCATGGCCTATCCTGATGCTCTTTGTGGATCTTTCTTCTACTCCACAGTAGTTGCCAGAACATAGCCAACAAGACTGATTTCCTTTCCAATGAAAAGTTTCATTTGCCCAGAGAGCCAGCAGTCAACAACAGAACTGTTATATTTTGTAGCCCCACAGCGGTGGAGAGATTAGACTAGAGCAGCAGAGAGACAGCAAGCAGCATAGTTTACATGGTTGATAACTTTATTGTTCTGAACAGGAATCAAAACTGTAAGCAAACATTGTGCCTAAAGAGGCCTGCAGTACAGCAATATTTAAAGAAACAGTACCCTACATAATGACTAATGCATGCTACAACACAAGAACCACTCACAGGAAGGATCTCGCACCCTTTCTCATAGGGTATATCCCAACCACCTACAAAGTGTTCTCAGGACACCGGGGACCAGAAACCATGCCTTCTACAAATTGGCTTGTTCACAAAACACAACACAGTGTCCTGCATCTACAAAAGGAGGGAACAACCACTATGCTGCCATCAAACCTTTGTAATTCCTAATTGGTGAAAGAGCAACTTGAAACCTTTCTAATATTGATTGCCAATGCCTTGGAGGCTGCTGTAATTACACCAGGGATTTTCAAGGCCCTTTGGGATATAAGAACATGTAAAGCACAGAGAATGCTTTGCCCCTGACCTCTTTTCCCTATCTCTACTCCAAATTTAGGTCATAACATAGTTGGGCCATTGCTGTTTAAACAGGTAACTTTTTTTGCCTAAGAATTAGACAGCAGAATTATAATTACTGAACTAAAACCAAAGGAAAAAATGAAGTGGCTTACTGTTTGAGACATGTGTTCACCCTCCTGCAGAACACCCAGAAAGGCGTGCAAGCCAGGGCAAGAAGCAGCACTGAATATAATCAGGTATGTACAAAATCTATGGATATGTAGCAGATATCAAGCATTTCTCTCAAAGCCATTTGTAAAATGTGGGTCCATACTTCACTGATGACTTCGCTGACCTAAGCTGTGGCAGAGGTCACAGATATTTTTCAGTGGGAAAAGGAGGTTTATGATAGAAACCAAAGACTAACAGTGAAATTTAATAGCATGTGTGTGAAAAAAATGTGATTAAGTGTGAATGTACAGAAAAAAAAATGTTTGTCCAAATAAGCAAAAATTGTAATTGCGCTCTTGATTTTTTTTCTCTGTTGCTCAAAAAGTGAGAATGGGGTGATTTCATTTCCATGAAACAGTCCAGAATTTTAGGAGCATAAGGAAACTAGTGAAATACGTAGAATTATTGGAAAGTCAGGTTTTTGACCAGAATAAGATTACAAAATGAGAACAGAAGTTTACATCAGTCTAGAAAATAAGGAAATAATGGAAAGAAGGGGATATTTGAAATACTGTAATTGGAAACCAATAGCAAAAGTGAAACTAAAAGCAAAGACACAATGATACAATTAATTTATAACAAGCTAGGTACTTGTACTTGCGTATGCTGTCTAAGCTATTTTTGTAAATTCAAGTCAGGCTGCATACCCTCCCAGTGACTCATTTAACAAGACAGAGGCTTGCATGTTTACGCATGTAGCTGAGGTTTAGCTTCTTCATTAGTTTTAAATGAAAAGTTTGCTATATACTTCTCTGACATACTTTGAAGAATAGAAACTGAAGATTTATGACTGCAACTGCATCATTTCAAATCTTGCTCATTTTTAATACTATGTAAATGTTTGTTTGACTTATGTAATTTTAAGTTTATAGTACAGTGGACAAAATGGACAGACAGAAAAGGGAGATTCCAGCGGATAACCTGGAGGGGGTTTGCTTTTAAATAGGGAACAGGCTTGAGACTGGCTTAATATAGGAACAAGCAAGTTTCTACTTATTTGACCTTTGACAGTCCTGAAATAATCCACTCGTTATAACAAGATTGTGCATTTTTCTTGGCGGTAGGAGGTTCTTATTTTTAAAGACAGTACATATTATATACTTAGTTTAGTAGCACTTTGAAAAATAGAAGGTTGCACTGGAAAAGTGGTTTTCCTGGATGTAACAGTGAAATGGGTAAATTTATGAATCTAAGCACTTATGGGTGAAGGACAATGACCTCTCTGTCCATAAGAAGTGCATTCCATGGTGCTTCAGGTAAAGAATGGGGATTTTCATGAAAGCATGTGTTAACATAAAGAGCAAAGGGAGAAAGAATAAAAATAAGCATACATATATCTATATACAAAGAACCAAAGCAGTTGAACCTATATAAAGCTGTTCACCCAGTAATTGCTCCATTGTGTAAAAGAAGGGAGTAAAGGTAAAATTTTTTCTCTTGGACTGGAGTGGAGACAGCTCACTCTTCTCTGACTGCCTGGATCATCATCCTATTAGCAATCTCTCAGGAAACATGAGCTTCATAAAGTCAGGTCAAGGGTGTCTAGCCTACCCTCTTTTCTCTCTACCGTTGCCTTGGAGGGAAGAGTGGCCAGCTGTTGTTTGACTTGAGGGAAAGGATGACAGAGGTTATTCTAGATGCATTTTCTGCAGTGAGAGCTAATTATGAAAGAACCCATTTCCATCTCGAGAGGACTGAGCCAGAGATTCTGCCAAGATGCGTGTCCCTGAAGGAAGAGAGTTATGTATAGTTCTGAGAGTACAAATAACTGCTTGGATTCTCTAGTCAGCAGACCCAATTACTACCAGCATACACCAGGCTATGTGAGAGCTCCCATAGTCATGAATATTGGCTGTTCATGTTTTGTTTTTAGTTAGAAAAAATTAGGAGCTCAACCTTTAATCTAACATTTCAAATCATTGTAGTGCCTGCATTGTAATTGAAGGGGAGGAGGGATAGACTACTGTATATTTAGCATATACATTTGCTTAGTGTCTAGTTATAAGGACAAAGTTGTTGATTATCTGTTGTTTTAATAAGTCTGTACTATTTAAAGGTGTCATCCTCTGAGGCGTGTGCATACAGAGCAGAGGTGGGCAAAATATGGCCCATGGACCAGATCTGGCCCACCAGGGTATTTTATCCAGCCTGTGGGGCCCCTAAACATTTAGAAAATTAATATTTATCTGCTCCTGGCTGCCTGTCAAAGATGACAGGATCCAGGGGCAGTAGGACCCAGGGTAAGCCGGCAGGAGCCAGCACCAAGGTCAGCTTGGCCTTGCCCCTCCGCCCCCCCCCAGTTTCCCCCACCCTTGCCCCACTCCCAACCTGGAAGTCTGTCAGCCGCAGCTTTCAGGCTGCTCTGGCACTACATGGCCCCCAGCTGCATAATCGGACCACAGGAGCACAGGGCCCGTGCTGGTACCCCAGGGCCAGGAGTGGGAGGGGATGTGTGTGTGTGCATCCCTGAAATGAGGGAGGGGGAGAGAGAGATGGAGAGCAATGAGGGAGGGAGAGAGAGGGTGTGTGTCTTGACAGACTGTGTGAATGTGTATCTGTGTTCATAGGGCAAGTCCCACATGCAACCCCACCGTACACATGTATCCACACCCCTCCCACACTGTCATACATGCAGACCCCTACACACACACCCCCTCACACACCGCAGCCACTCTCGCCCCACACAGAACCCACCACAAACCTCATACCCACCCACACCCCACATATCCACATACACACCCATATGCTCCCTCACCCCACACTCATACCCCTACACCCCACATACCCATACACTAACAGCCCTCCACCCATGCCCCCACCCCCCACAATATACAAGAGTAAGGCTTCATTTTAAGCTATTGTGCAATCATTTCTATGTACACTACACAAACGCATGTAAATCAGGACAAAATATTTTTTGAAATCACATTAATGAATGTTGTAGACATTTGATTTTTAGAATATAATTGGTATTTTTCTGGTTCTGAGATGACAAAACCCCTTGCTGAAAGGAGTATTTCCGGGGGCAATGGGAGGGACTTCTGGTGGCAAAGGTTAGGGATTAGGGGACAGGACTTCTGGTCACAAGATGGCAACCAGGGGGCAGGGCACCTGTCAAGGGGTGGAGCTACCAATGCAGCCCTTAATTGCCCAGCCCTGATATAGAGGAAGAAAACATCATCAGGTTGTCAAGCATACCTTTTGAAGATCACTGCTAATAGATGAGAGGCTCAGGCCATACTACTGAAGGACCAATTCTGTAGGACCCTTACAAGACAAGCAGGTGGGAGGGATCCTGTGCTAAGTCAAATTACAAAGGGTCCATATCCAGAGTAAGTCATTAACGAGCAGGAGGGAAGGGTATGAGAACTAGGACTTTAATTAGAAATTATGCCTAGGATGTGAGAAAAGTGATAATGATGGCACTTGAGTAAATAACTTTCCACTGGTAGAGTAACTAAGGTGAGGTGACCAGGGCACCAATCCCAGGCACTGACTTGAGTGGGGTGCAAAAAAAATACCAGCTGCCAATGCCACCACACACTTTTGCTGGGGGCCTGGCGGCAGCCAGAAATCACTGCTGTCTCTGTGAATCACCCTAGGAGCCCGGATTACTTGTTTATTCTCTGCTTTATTGGCTGAAACTTTTAACTAACGGTTTTATCATTTACATTTTCTTGTACGGCATTTTCAGTCCACCTGCTACTACCAGACGGGCTTTAGCATTACCTCTTAGGGAAGGACTTACAAACCAACCTTTGGTTATTTGTTGCTGAGTGTCCTAGTTATATTCAGGTTATGAACAGATATAATTCAATAATCTTCACCCTCCCTTAGTATTGGAGGGAGGGTATCTCTCCCCAGCTCCTGTAAGGGCCTCTGGTGGTATAATTGCATTCGCAACAGCCAAGGAAAGGAAATCATGGTCTTGCTGTAAAAACCACCCATCTGCATCTTTAGGCATCTAATATCTTTAAAAATCTGGCCCTTGAGGTTCATATGTGCCTACATCACTTTTGAAAGTAGGGCGTCTGCTTGTCAGTCACTTACAAACTTCAACAATTGTACCCTGACCCTTTAGCTCAGAGGTAGTAGCATATTGATAAACCTTTGTTCATGGAAAAGCTTGCAGAGGGTGACAAAGAGCCATGCTGTTAGTATGGTTTACATGTACAAAGTATTTTGAGGGTTTTTTTCAGGGAGAAAGTATTATATGTACACTTAAAACTACCAAATATCATCGCTGTGGTCTGATTCTGTATTGGGCTCTTTGTTTAAAATACTATACATTAAAACTTATATTCCATTTTCCATTTATTTCAATCCTTTATATATTTTTGTTACTTGCTTCAGCTCAGCTACCTAAGCAGAGAATAAAAGTTTTCAGTCAATTATCTGAAATCTTGCAGCCTTCACAAAGCCCCTTAAATTTGCTGCAGTAGGTGAACAACTTGTAACTTCTCACACTGTTGGACTGTGACACCTTTGTGGTATTTAACACTGACATTTTAGCACTTCCTCTTTTAATTCCCCCCTTCACCCCCAGAGCTCTTTGCTCCTTAAAATATCATTGCTAAATTTACACCAGAGACATAACATCTCTGTATAAAGAACAGCAGCAACAAGCCGTCAGCCTTCCCAGTTTCTGCTGAGAAATCTGTTCAGCCTCAAGCAGAACCACAGCACTCTGTGCACTGCTGCGTGTTTACTTCATCATCACTGCACTCACTGCCAGTTTCTCAGAACTTTTTAAGTAATTACTTTTCTCTGTATCAAGGGACCTAAAACATCCAGAGGGCATGTCGCTCATCTCAGTCATTGTCTAGGTGCATTGACACCCATTTTAAAGTCTCTGACACTATTTTGTGTGACTGGCCCCATGATTGAGATCACATAATTACAATAATTAGGAAGCTCACCTCAGGATATTATCAAAGTGACCCACCCAAACCCAAGTCCATATGGTTTGAAATAGCTAATGAGTCAGTTAATGTGCTATGTCCAGGAGTAATGGATACTCAATATG